ATTAGGCAAATGTTGTTTGATTAACATGTGCTACTACCGATAATTTGAAATAGAGTTATTTTAAAATTAAAAACTCCTTATATAAATTTTCCTAGTTACAGTCTGCTTCCTTGTATTTCAACCACATTAAGCTTGCGTGTCTTTCCTCCAATGCAGTGTGTCTGTAGATTTCTGCACTGTCATCCCCAAGGCAAAGTCCTGAGATTCCATACAAGGCAATTTTAATCTCCCATAGAGCAAAGTGAATGTTGTGCTTTCCCCAGGTGCCAAGCTGAGTAGCTAGAAGGCGTACAAACTCCAGTGAAGACCCTATTCACCCTCCTAACAGATGGGTAAATGCCAAAAGTACCAATGGAAAAAAATTTCCACTCTCAAACTCACACAAGAGCTCCAGACATTGATAGCAGCTTGAAGTCTAATACTTTACATATAAACCCTTTGAATAACATTTGCCTCTTCCAGACAAAGCAAATGAAAGTTAAAAATTAAATCTAGATCCAAGTACTAGGGGCCAATTCCTTATAGTATCAAAGTCATCAACAAAATCAGCACCAACCCAGAAAGACGGGGGAAACTTTCAGCTATGAGTCACAATGCAGATTCAAGAAACAATCTTTTACAAAATGAGATGCAAATGCTTCAGAATTCCAAATGCACATTAAAAAAGCATACTGACACACATTTCTCACTCAGCTCTCTCTCATACAAGCCAAAAGCAGCAGCAGTGACAAGGGGGGGGGGGGGGGGGGGGTGGGTGAATTCGGTTTAACTTTCAAGAAATCAGTCTTGAAATTCTCCTAGGTTTTCCCAAAGATTCTTTTCAATGAAGATAAAACCTAGCCAAAAAATTGCCTTGGGAAAAAAATCCTTACCAAGCTGACTGGTCTTACTCTGCACTTTTCCAGGAGACCAAGAGTCGCTTCTGATACAGCAGCACTATGCTCTGGAGAAATCAGAACAGAGAGGGAGAACACAAGAGGGAGGGGGAGAGCACGCGCACTGCACATCAGTTTGTTTGTGCCCTAATACAGCTTCAGGGCAAACAGAAGAGCTAAGCTGCTGCCAAATCACCCTGGGAACTGCTTTGCAATGGATCAAAATGAAAAAAGAACAGGACCTTCACATGACCTGTCAAGTTTCAATAAGCACAAGATCAGGACAGAAAGAATCATGCCCACAAGTCACTTAGTAAGCTGCCTGGTGAGCTTTAAGTATCATACTTACCTTTGAGCAGAGACCATGAATAAACTGACCATGTATAAATTAATGCAAAGAGAGAGTCTAACAACTTATGACTCCACAAAGAAAAAAAGCAAAGTGGCAACAGAATGAGACTACCCACTTCTTTCTTGCATCCCTAAAAACTTAATCAATTTCTGTCTTCAGAAGGACAGGATTGTCATGGATTGCAAACTGGACAGGAGTAATCGTTTCCACTTTTAATCAGTAACTTATTTATACTTCAGTTGCATGTGGCATACACTTCCTTTGTAAATTCTTCAGGGAGGGATGGAATTTATAATCTAAAGACAGACACCCTCCCCCACCCCAAGATAAAAAAAATGGAATGCAACATACAAGCAAAGTGACCAAGCTAAAGATAGGTGCACACTGTATTTTGATAAATATAAAGCTATTCCCAAATGCTCTTCTATCAAGCCATTATCTCCCAAACTAATCCTCCTCTACAAACACAAGGTATGTTAGTACCTCAGTTTAAAAACCTATTAAAAACATAACTAAACTATCGCTTTACCCATGATGCTGGCTCCAATTTAAAAGGCCACACACACTCCCTTAGGAAAACTAACGTGGGATTCCAGCCCACGCTCCTGGCTTCTGACACCACATGTTCTCAAAGGCCTGCCTCTGCAAAGGAGGCTCACTAAGTCTAAGTCTCTTTCCTCAACTTTCGGTGTACAAACTTAAGCCATTCTGGTATCTTTTCAGTTTTGAATGAGTTCTACAGACACTACTGCATATGCTACTTGCACAGCCTCAAAATGACAAGAAGAAGGAACTAAATAGACCTGGTTACTTGAATGTATTATCCTCAAATAGCTATGAGGCAGCATTATGGTTGCACTTCTCATTGAGAAAGTAGAACGGTGAGGATATAGTTCTACTGGCAAAATGGCACTCTATGGTAACTAGGGACATTAGATATATTTTATTTTAGTAATCGCATACCCGCAACAACTTTTAGCAGTTACATGGCTTCTAAAATGCTCCCACCCCACAAGGGCAGGGCGAGCGGCCAGTGTGCTCCCAGCCCCACTCCTGGGGAGCTCCCTGCCACCTCATGCTGTTGCCTCCGTATCAGAGGCAGCAGCACGAGGAGCCAGATAGAGCCAGTCCGCAAGGGGAGCCTGTTTGCCCGCCTGCATGCTCTTTCTTCATTTAAAACTCAGATGGTGGGCTGGGTGTGAGCCGGCCTGCTGGTCCAAGCACATGGAGTGCGGGGGTTGTGGTTAACGGGAACCGTTAACCAATAAGCAATCACCTATTGGTTAAACAGTTAGCCAGCTAACCGCTAACATCCCCACTGGTAACCTGCTACAACCCACACAGAACTCCTGGTTAGGATGTTAAATTTCGATCAATCAGCTAATCGAGCAGTCGATGGAATTTCCATTGACTACTCCATTAGTCAATAAGAGGGGCACTTGCTATCCCACTACACCTCTCCCTCTGAAATGTTCAGGAGCTACCCGCGGCTCTTGTACATTCCAAAGGGAGAGGAGCAGCAGTGGGACCAGCGTGAGCGGCACTGTTTCAATCCCACTCACGCTGTTTCCCCACTGTCCCCTGTCTCCCCTGCCACCCGCGGAGACAGTGCTGGGGGGCGGGGGAGGTACCGGCTTTTAAGCCAGTTCCCCCCAGTTCCGGCTCATGCTCCCTCCTTGCTGCCTCTCTCTAATAGAGGCAGCATGGGGGGGGAGGGGGGTAGTGACTAGTCGAGTTCCTACTCGACTACCCAATAAGCATTTGCTTATCAGGTAGTCAACTAGTTGCTGACATCCCTACTCCTAGTAAGGGTGTTGCTTAGAAACAGCCACAAAAAAAGGCTTTGGCATGTCTTGCAATGTTTTCAGATGCTACTTTTCCCTTCAAATACAAATAAAGTGGGCTACTTTCACTTCAGGAGCACAAACAGTAACTCATTCCCCACCTGTAACACATTTTCAGGTATAGCTAGCATCTGGAATATGATCTCTCTAATCAAAACCAGCAGAAAAAAATATATTAGGCAATATTAATTTCATTAGCTCAAAGGACAAAAACATACTCCCTCTTAGAAAAAATCACGTGCACAGGCACCCTACTGAATCTCTGGGGCAACTGATGATGTGTCATTGCTGCCATTTATTTGGTTGGCGAGTTTCCATCACTTCATTTCTTTCCTTGCCTTTCCTGTTCTGTTTCAAAACTAGCTCTGGGTTGTTTGCTATGCCACTTGTGTTATTCTGATTTTATGCCTGAGTGGATGTATACAGAGAAGCACACGGCCCATGGAATAGTGTCCACCCCGCTCATGCACAGTCAAACAGCCAACACAAAGCACGCACTCCCGCCCCTCAGGCCATACTGGGAAGCTCCTCGCTTTCAGAAGCTCTGGGCTTGTAACAAGTATGTTCATAAAAGACTTCAAAAAAGAAGCTGAATAATGGAGCAGAAGTAAGGCTTCAAAAGCAGCAGCTTTATATAGAGCACAACACCAACATCTTCTTTCTTAAAATTGCAGAGACTTAACCAAAACCAATCCACATTTGCATCTTAATGCGATTACTAATTAAACCACAAGGTCTGAAAGGCATGCCATGGACAACTGCCCATCCTGCATTAGCTGAAAGTTATACTGCACCAGAAAAACAACTTATTAGCACCATAGAAGGAACCGGTACACCCTGTTGATAAGAGAAAAAGTAATCATTGGCAAAAATGGAGTATAGAACGTCATATCTAAAGAAAAATCCAGTGAAAATACTGAAATATGAGAAGCTGTTCAAATGTTTTTCCTTTTAGGACTTTTTAATCACTGGATTTTCCTGACCAGCTTACTTTACAATAAAACCAACTTGCTGGAGTTATTTCACTAATACCAGATTAATTTGGTTTAAATCTGGCAATATTCTATCTTCCTGAGACAAATAATCTCGAAGTCCACCCTCCCACAGAATATCTTCAGCCTGGAGAATCAGCATATCAACTATAAATACAAAATGCTGGGGATGGGAATAAGGGGTTTCATATTTTCTGATCCCAACATGGATCAGAAATAGGCTGTAACATACCCCAGCACAACCTATGTGAATATTTATTTTTAAAATGTACCTCTCAATACACCACGAATCTCAAGCTCCAGGTCACTATGCACTTAAGAATTTTGCAACAAGATTTAGTGAAGGGGATACCAATTACCTACTGGATAACATGATGTATAATAAAAGTCTCTAACATGATGCCTACTGGCTGTGCCACATAGAAGTACTATGAAAGTTATCATCCTCTACCAAAGACATTCCAAAGCTTATGACAAAGAAGGGAAAATACTGTACACACAATTTGCAGCATTCAACAGAGTGTGGCAAAACAGATCAAACTCCCACACTCAATACATTTGTGGCTTCTGCTCTACGTTTGTTTGATTCCAAAGTGCAGTACTCTATATGCTAGAAGTAAAGAAGCTAACCACACGGGAACAGAATTTGTATCTTAATGTGTTCAATGCAATGATTAGTGATTGTTTTTCCATTGGAGACCCACTTCAACTCAATGGATAAGTCCATACTCCAAACCATATATTATCCCCCTTTAAGACTATAAATGTAAGCCTTCCTTTTTGGAGGCTAGTAAATCACTGCTCTTAATTTACCCCTTGACCCACCAGCAAATCCTCTAAACTCCATTAATAGAATGACCAGCAGAGGGTGAGTTGTAAACAACATATATTAAAGTACACACACAAAGGGTTATTCAAACAGCTACTGCCTTCTTACCCATCCTCCTTGCTGGATGATGTAGTCTGCCGCATAGTCTTCTAAATATGTCACTCCAAACCGCAAAAGTGCACTGAGTGGCTCCTGGCCTCGTTTTGTCAGTTCCATAAGGAATTGCTGCAGCAGAACCAGAGGCACCAACACCTTCAGAAAAGGCAAACAATGACAGATTGAGAAGGATAACATTTCCTAAATTCACCACCTCGTGGGAGAAGAGTATTCATACAGTTTACAAGTTAATGATCTTAGTTTCCAATTATACAAAGCTATACTGGACTATGTGCTTTAGTTTTACAATTATGGGACAAAACCAAAGCAGAGAAACATAGGACAGCAGCATTCCATGTGAGGTAAAGCAATCTCCTCATTAGAAGCGACAAAGAGTCCTGTAGCACTTTATAGACTAACAGATGTATTGGAGCATAAGCTTTCGTGGGCAAAAAGACCCACTTCGTCAGATGCACGCATCTGACAAAGTGGGTCTTTGCCCTCAAAAGCTTATGCTCCAATACATCTGTTAGTCTATAAATTGCTACAGGACTCTCTGTCGCTTTTGTAGGTCCAGACTAACGCGGCTACCCCTCTGATACTTGTCCCCTCCTCATTAGAGTAACTTCTGTGGAAGACACCCTCTTACAGAAGACAACTGCAGTGCATTTCTGTGTCCCATCCTTCCCTAATACAAGATTTAGGTAGATAACTTGAATGGTGAGATGATTCCCTCCCGCACTCCATGGTTACAACAAATACAGATGAAGGTGGTTAGTACAATTTGAAGAGGATACAGGATAGCAACGCAAAATGCAACTAAGCAGAAAATTCACAGACACTCTTGGGCAGATGCTTAGTTTTTGAAAATCCTTTCAGAAGGCTCTTCTGTACTTTTGGAGTCGGTGGGGAAAAAACAAGAGCTCTTTCACTGACTTTGCGACATTGGGTATCACTTAATTTCTCTGTGTTGTAGTTTCCTCATCAAAAAATAGGAAAGTGAACCTCACATGAGCACTGTAAAGTGCTTTGAGAGCCAAGATACTCAAGGCAATAAGTATTTTGTATTAATTTTATATTTAAGATAGTTCTGACTGTTAAACCAATATAAAATCATGGTAGTAACTGGTTTACTTCTGACACTGGGTTCCTCGCCATGCCTGTATTGCTGTAAGGCACTTTTGGCAGATGTTACCAATGTGGTGTTCTGTTAGATACTGACAGATGTTTGGCTGTGTGTGTGCATTCCTTTTATGTGCCTACTCAGCTCTGTGCAGATAGCAGGCAAAGCAGACCTTGAGCAAACCAGTCAATTGCCACAAAATCAGAAAAGGGGAGAAAGGCACCCAGCCAGATTTATTGCCAAATGAAGCACAATTATAGCAGACCGCAAATTCTACCAGATCACTAACATGTGCCCCCTGAAAATGGGCTCAGCTCAGCTAGTAGTGGGACTTTCCATAGCTCGCTAGGCTACCCCTCCGAGATACATCTTTATACACAGATATCAACAAGTTACGTATTACTCCTGAAGCATCTAGGTGACACCCTCTGAAATATTTGGGTGCCACCAATCATCTGGTGCACATTGGTTTGATCAAAATATCCCTATCCATCATGCTGTCATCCTGACCTTATCCTGAGGATAGGTCAGTATGTTTTTGTTATCCATAGGGAATGTGCTGTTATCAGGGTGTTCTGGTACTACCACAGAATGTGTTTGAATAACTTGTGACTAATACTTCTTAGGCAGAGCCGATCGTAGGGATGGGTGAGCTGGGTGGTTGCCCAGTACCGCCATTTTCAAGGGGCTGTCGACAGAGCCAGTCTTAGGGGTGGGCCGCAACCACATTTTTTTTTTTTTTTTTTTTTGCTCTTAGGTATATGTGTTTCTATAATATTGGGCTTGTTTTTGTCAGATTTTGTGAGCAGGGCCTGCCTTGCTCACAATCTGACTTTGCTTTATATTAGCAAGTTTTGACCGTTACTTTAGCCCAGGCCTTAGGTCTCACATCAAGCCTCTGATACACAGTCTTAGGTTTCAGGCTCTCTTCCTACTACATACCCCCAACTTTTTTTTTTTTTTTTTTTTTTTTTTTTTTTTTTTTTTTTTTTTTTTTTATAAATAGGGAAGGTGTTTACCCATCATCCCAGAAAAGCATAATGCATGGACAGAAGATGACCCAATGAGCTAAATGCTGACATATTACCACTTTATTTTACCATCCACTCATTTATGCCCCATCTGTTCCTTAGTGTACACGTTCTCTCGTATGACTGTTGGACACATTTTATTCTCCAATTGTGTCTAGTCCCTTATGGTGGGCCTGGGGACGTTAGGCTTGAGACTTTGGTCAAGCAATGTAGTTTTAGAGGCACTCCCAAATAATGAATATGGATATGATGTATATAGTTGTAGCATATATTGGCATATCTACAATATGAATGTGTACATATGATAACCCTTTATATTCAAGCATAACAATCCTTTTTAAATTTGGTATTGTGATTATTACAGTGGGTCCCACAGTGTAATGTATATGAGAAATAAAACAAATCTGGAGTAGTGACATTAAAAATGAGACCTTTATGCTTAATTTCTTGAAATTAATTACAAGACTGTCCATCCATGTTATAGGATACTCTTACTGCTGGTTTTCACCCTCTGGGATGAGCTTTGCTGGGTACAAAACAGGAATGGGTAGGTTTTCTATCCCATTGGTTGTGTTGCTCTGTGATAACTGGACATGCTTCAGCTTCTGGGGTATTTCTTACAGCTGCTGTTTTCCAAATAACCTACTGAATGGACAGTGACCAAAATGTATTAAATATTTCTGTGACAAGATTTAGTATCGGTACCCAAACACTAAACAAGATTGTTTTGAATAACATATGCTTAGTTAGTAGAATCACTTAATCCAAATGATGACTGGTACTAACAAGAAATTTGTTTATCCAATTCTTAATTACTGTGTAACAATTTCTTTACCATTTTTTGGCCTTCATGTTGCTTGCTGCCATTTGTTGATTTTTACCTGTATTTTGGATAAATATTTGGCAATGTTATGCACATTGTAAATGTACCCCAATAATACAATACAGCACCAATGCAGTATTACAGCATTAATACAATTGCTTTTACATAGTAAAGTGTAACTTAACTGACAGTGTTTTTTAGCTGATTGCCAACTTAATTGTTCATATATAGTGGACTGAGGAGTATTTGATAAATCTCTTATTTATAAAGCACTTCATTTTACTTTTCTTGATGCTTGGGCTTTTTTTTACTATATACAGTACTGTTATTTTCTGGTGTCTTTGTGGTATAATTTTTTTATTTTTTTGGTCTGAGAGATGCCACCTTAAACAGCTTAAATTTGCTAAAGTATTTTTTTTATTTTTAGTAACCCGTATTTGATAAACAGATTAATTTAATTTGTTTACAATGTAATAGGGACCACATCTTCTATAACCCAAGCTATACTTTTGCAACTGTTGTGCAGACAATTTTTGCTTGAGTGCATTAGTAATATGGTATACTAAATGTAATGCTTAACTGATAAAATAAATGCTTCCAATCTTACATGCAAAAGTATATTACTTTTCCTTGCTTCATTCTGCTTGACCAAGAGAATGGGTATGTCTACGCTGCAGAGTTACATCCACACTGCAATCACGTTCTTTTAAAAAAAAAAAAAAGAAAGAACAGAGGGCTTTTTCCAACATTGGTAAGCCTCTTTCTATAAGAAAGAAGCCTTTTACCGAAAGAGCTCTTTCGGAAAAAGGCGTGTGTGGATGGGGAAGAGGAAGTTCTTTCGAAAGAAGAGGAAAGAGGAAAAACCACAGGTGCCCTAGTGGCCACTCCGTCCATAGTAATCACAGCTTAAATGCGAGATAGCGTCCATTCAGTGTGGATGCTATTTTTCGAAAAAGCAGATCACTTTTTCGATGCTCTTTGGCAGTATGGACGCTTTCTTTCGGAAGTAGTTTTTCTGGAAGATCTCATCCGGAAAAGTTTCTTCTGAAAGAAGCCTGCAGTCTAGACCAGTGTTTCCCAAACTATAGGCCGCGGCCCAGTACCGGGCCTCAGCATGGCTGGTGGCTGCCGGCAGGGCCGGCCTCAGGCCGATTTGAGCTCCACATCCCTGAACCCGGAAGTGCCGGCAAGTTACAGAGACAGGGGCCCTGCTCCACCAGTATGTGGAGCTGGGTCTCTCCCCCGGCTCTGCCTGGTGCGCGCGTGGATCCCCCCC